TTTTATTGATCGAGATCTGGATCTTGGTCATCTGATCTAAAATGGTTAATGAAATGGTGAGCTACACTAGCTAATAAGAATATCACACTACTCACTGATACAGAAATGAAGGGTTGGTAAAAATTATTAAACAACCAATGGAGCTCTTAAATTAAGTAAATTTATTTATTATAAATAAAATTATTTATTGCATACTTACCGTAGTGAGATTTTCAAAACTGTCTATAGAGGTAATAACACAAACAATATCATAATTTCATATTTAAGTGGTCAGAACAACAACTTTTCATTTTTATTTGCTTACTGGTATCCTTAGGGGTCCATAGGGATGTCCCACTATGCGTGAACCCATAATAAAACTTGTCAACTAACCGGCTGTCCCCATACTCTGTCCGGTATGAGTACTAAAAGTACTATCCCTCAATACCCCGTCCGGTATAAAAGTGAATCGGGTCGTCCCCATACCCCATCCAGTATGAGCACCAAAAGTACCATCCCTCAATACCCCATCAGGTATGAAAGTGAATCTAGTCGTCCCCATACCCCGCCCGGTATGAGCGCCAAAAATACTATTCTTTGATACCCTCTCCGGTATGAGGTAACACTCAGGTAGGGTTCCCTATGTAGCCGGTCTGTCCACCATCTCCCAGGATATTCAGTAAGAGAACTGTTTCATTAATTCACTTAACCAAACAATTTTTCATTTACATTTAATTTTTAGTTTTACAATTTAATTGTAAATTACGCAAGACAAGTAATACATGCATCAAGGAAACACAACTGAATCATCTTACTAATTTCAGTGTATTATCATGCATTTAAAACTGTAAAATCAAATAATCAGTTAAAATAGGACAAACAGTAATAAATAACTGATTCCGGCTCCATTAGTATCCTGTAATTAATTATCAAAATTTTCTAAATTACGTAAAATACCGTATTATTTATAATTAGACTTCAATTCAATAATAGAGAGTAAAGCGATGGATTCTTACCCGAATTGGTATCCTAAATACTTAACTTTCTATTGTGCCTACTGGCGGTTCTCGGGTTTTTTAAATTTTCCTGCGGAGGTAAAAACATGTTTCACGTACTTAAAAATACTTAAAAAATCTAAAATCGGTGTTAAAAACTTTTTATAACTAATTTCAGAATTCCAGCACGGCAGCATCGTCGTGCTCCGACGATAGCACCGCTGCTCGCAGCGGCGGTTTACCTCGGACTGGTCGTTTTTGGTTAATTTTGGCCGGTTTTGACCTATTTTATACTAATCCTTGCGAGAAAACACGTTAAGGGGGCTCGGTTGGCCAAAAAAAGTCAAAAAATAAAAACTTACCGCCGGTAGAATTTTTCGATGCAGCTGCTTCGCCGGCTAACTTTCGTGGTTGAGCTTTTTTCTTCGGTCAACCTGTAGAAAACAAAATAGTGAATACAATTGTGGAAAAATCACATGAAACAAGAAATGAGAAGAGCTCATCGGAGGCGATTTTTGATTTTTTCTGTAGCGGCACCATCGGGCTTTACCCGTGGTTTCTGGCTCATATACCGTTTCTTTTGTTTCGATTTGGCTACTGGGGTGTTCAAAATCAAATTCTGAGCGAATTGGAAAATTTTTATATTTTTTGGCGGTCGAAGGTAGCTCCGGCGCGACGGCAGACAGCAGTCAACTCCCTTTTCCGGTGACTGGTTCTTCTTCTTTGGCGTGGGGCTGGCGGCTAGGGTTTTGGTTCGGTGTAAAATGAGATATTTATACCCATCTCCATTAAATCTGGGTTGTTAATTGCGTTTGATTTCGACTGTCCGATCGTATTTAAAGAGAAAATGAATCTGAACCGTTCATCGTAATTTGATCTCGACCGTACGATCGCGTTTAAAAAAGAATGAATTTGGACTGTTCATCGTGTTTAATCACGACCGTCCGATCGTGCTTGATAAGAGAACGGATCCGGACCGTCTACGCGCGTAGGAATGCATCCAGGCCGTCAGATTGCAAGGACGCAGATCACCAGCGTGGCATCGAGTCAGCGTACCTTGTCACGCGGCGCGCTCTGTTTCGTCAAGGTTGTTGACTGGGCGGTCCTACGTGACGTATTTTTTTAAATTACGTTTTGACCCTCAGTTTCTAATTTTTCTTTCAAAAATATCATTCGAACCCAAATTTTCACATCTTTTTTTCAAAATTGTTTTCAATTTTATCATCTACCTACTTTTTTCTAATTTTACATTAAAGAAAAAATTATAAATTTAAAAATTATATTTTTATATATTTATTTTAATTTTAAAATTAATCTCGAGCCAAATTTCGGGCCCGGGTATTACAGTTTTTATGATGAATGGATAAAGATAATTATAAACATTGTTAATTGGATGTTAATCTCGGTGAATAAATGTTAAATGAAATACTAGTTGATAGAGAAATACTAATTAGTTGGTTTAACTCATTGTTTTGACTCCTTAAATTTGGAAGTGATATAACTATATAAAATAATTTATGAGCAACAATAACTTTATTTCATGATAGTAAAAAGGATTATGTGTGTGCATTGTGTTAAATTCTAGCATTAATTAAATGAGAAAATAGTAACCAACAGATATCACAAATTGATTACTCTATTATAGGAGACTAGAATATCATTGGAAATAATTAGTTCTGATTTTATTTGAAGAATATAATTAAAGATTTTTCTGAGTTGTTATTAAGGCAATTTTTAAGATTTAGAATTATTGTAATACATTAAGTATTACACGTAGTTGATGGATACATAAGAATTAGTATAAGTCCTTTGCAATTGAAGCTTAACAAATAGTATTATCTGGACTGACTTAGAATTAGTAGTCATAATCTTGTCTTAGAGATTTTAATGATATTATATATATATATATATATATATATATATATTCATGGTTAAATAGTCAAAAATATAATATAAGAGGTAGAGGATGATGAAGTTATTAAAAGATTTTATTTTGACTATTAGTTACCGATTAGAAAATGCAAATTTAGTAATTCTATTTTAAACATAACAAAACAAAAAAAAAAAAAAAAACTATAATTATTTTACAACTTAATTATGTCTTCAAGAAAATCTCCAAGGTGATGACAATTTGAGTATTGTTGTTTAAATCTAAAACATAATTATTTAATCTTGGACTTCAATTAATGCTTATTGAATTTGATTATTGAAACACAAATAAATTAGTAATCCAGTGACAATAGACTTTTCTTTTCAAAAAATTTAACATTTATATTTGAATACTGAGTATAAAATACATAAAAGAACTTAGAAAAACTCGTAACACTAATATATGTACACTTGAGATATTTGTTAATGTTTGAAGAACCATAAAAATAAATTTGTTAGAACAGTATGAATAAAAATAACTACACAATATACATTTATAATTTAGTGGTAAGTAAACAAGCGAAGATTGAGTACTTGATATATCGACCAAGAAATTATAAAATTACATCATTGTTACTATATGGAAATACGAACAAAATTAGTGTGAACCTTATGACCAGCTAATCTGATTTCCATGCTTTGGGTTATTATAATAAATAAACTCACTTTTGATGCTAAGATTATCTTAAATATATTTAATAAATTTTATGTAGAAAAGATTATATGGTAATATAAAGTTTTTAATACTATTGTTTAGATAATGATATTAAATTTATCTCAAATAATAAGATGAATTTTTGACAAAACAATGAGTTCTAGACGAAGGTTTCGTGATTCAAAACTCTTGATTTTTAATAGTTTTGTTGTCGTGATTCAAAATTCATGATTTTTAATAGTTTTATTGTCGGTATAGAATTTGTCTCATCATGTATAATTTGAATGAATGTTATTTTTTAAAAAAAAAAAAATTCACTAATAATGATAATAATAATAATAATTAATTAAGTATAAGTTTAATTAAATATATAAATTAGATTAGGAATGATTTTTCAAAAAATGAATTATATTAGTAACTAATTTACATCTATATGTATGTTACGTAACCAATTAGTAAATATCAAAACTGAATTACTAAAAAAGGAATTTGTCCCCTAGAAAAACAAAGTTTTAACAGGTCGGTTTTGGAAGTGTTTGGTCCGAGGAGAGAGGTAAAGAACAGAGAGATTTTCAAGGAATGGAAGAGGAAGAGAGAATAAGAAGGGTCATCTCATCCTTTTGTCTTGTCAGTTATCTCTTCTTTTCGAACTTTTTTCACTGATCCAACCTTTGTCTGCTTTCCGAAAGCCTTTCTCTTGCGTTTAAGCTTGAATCTTTCTTCTTCTCGTGACTTGATTCTTCTGCTATTGCTTTTCGGTCAATCAACAATGGATCCAACAAAGCTGATTTTATGCAAAGTTCGGGAAAGTAAAGAAGACATTTTTAACCCTCTGATCGCAACCGCCACGCAGATGGGCTGCATATTGTTCCTCTCCCATGTCTTCTACCTCTTCTTGAAGCCATTGGGCCAACCTGGACCCATTGCACAAATTCTGGTAAGCATTAGTTTTGATACCTTCTTATTCATTTCTTTACATATATAATATAATATGAGATACGGGATTTGTATTAGGCTGGAGTTGTGCTGAGTCCATCGTTACTATCTCGTATAACCCGAGTTGAAGAATTCTTCATTCAAACGTCTTCAGAAGGTTACTATTCTGTATTCTCATTCTTTTTCAGGGCAATAATCATGTTCTTGATGGGTTTAGAGGTGGATAAGTGTTTCGTCAAACGTAACCTGCATAAAGCTAGGATCATTGCGTGTGGAGCTGTCATGGGATGCGCCATTCTTGGTGCAGCCTCCTCCTTCCTGATCATGCACGTACTGAGAATCCATCAGAAGCATGTAATTTTCGCCATGGTTTTCATTATGGTTGTCACCAACTCAGCTTCCCCTCTACTATTCAGGGTGGTGATTGATATGAAGCTGGACAACTCTAATGTAGGGAGATTAGCCATTTGTGTTTCTTTAATGATGGAAATATCCTTAGTTCTTTTGTTCACCATTGTTGAATTTTTCATGAAAGAGAAGAGCTTCCATCTTTTTCTCCTCTTTAGTTTTTCCACCGCGTTACTTGTCATAGTAAACAGGCATTTAGTCCCTTGGGTTAATACATGGAATCCCAAGGAAAAGTATCTGACAAACCCAGAGGTCTTGTGTTTCTGTCTTCCTGTTCTTATATTAGCAATGAGCAATGAAAATTTTGGCTTTAGTAACATCGTTCCTTGTTTCATCATAGGCTTGACATTTCCTAGAGAGGGCAAAGTTGCTAGGACCCTTTTGCGCAAATTCACCTACCCTGTTTATGAATTTATCCTTCCAATTTTTTATGGCTACATTGGCTTCCAGTTCAATATACAAGCCATCCAACATATTAATCACATGATTGCAGTTGTTCTTATTGTCGTAGTTAGCTTGGGGGCAAAAATAATTGGCACTCTAGCTGCTTGCTGCTTCCTTAAGATTCCCAGGAACGAGGCATTTTTCCTGGCTTGCATATTGAATTTCAAAGGCAATGCTGCTTTTCTGCTCATTGACGTCACCAAAGGCTCCCGTGTAGGTTCTTGTAATGATAGATTATCATATTTCTTAACTAATATACATGGTTTCATTACATGTAATGTGTTGATTATATTTTCCCTCTCTCTCTTTTTACTTCTTGTTACAGACTTGGTGGGGACCTGAAGTCCGCCACTTGCTTCTTGCAGCAATGGTGATCAACACACTTATCTCTGGCTTCATAGCTTCTTATTTGCTGAGAAAAGAGGAGAAGTACTTTGCTCACTCCTTGACCGCACTGGAATTTCACAGCACAGACAGTGAGCTTCGATTGCTTGCTTGTGTTTACACCTCTCACCATGCTTCAGGCGCAATAAGCCTGATCTCTGCCTCAAGTGGCTCCAAAGGCACACCCATAACTCCTCAGTTGGTCCACCTAGTCGAGCTACGCAAGAACCATAAGGCCAAATTGATGTATCACCAGCTAGAAGATGGTGAAGAGTTCAGCGATGAGGAAACTTATGGTGGGGATGATGTTCTGGAGATTAATGACTTGATTGATGTCTTTACAAAGCAGAGCAAAGTTCTGATCAGACCTAGCAAGCTTGTGTCACCATTAACTAACTTGCACCAAGAAATGTGCAGCATTGCTGAGAATTCTCGTGTGTCAATTTTGTTCCTCCCATTTCACAAGCACCAGAGGATTGATGGGAGATTGGAGAACAGCAATGAGGGTATTAGAACGACAAACCAGAAGGTTCTTCGTCATGCACCCTGCTCAGTAGGAATTCTTGTGGACAGAAGACAAAGTGGGTTTCAGATACCACATGGGTCTGAATCAGTGCAGCAAGTAGCAACCTTGTTCTTTGGTGGACCTGATGATCGTGAGGCCTTGGCATTAAGCAAATGGATCTCTATGCACCCTCAAGTTAACTTGACCGTTGTTCGCTTCTTAGCTGCGCCAATGAACAAACAACATCTCATTGATAATGCCTCTACCAAGAACCATGAGATCCTTATGTCAATATCAACTCATGAGACTGAAAACGAGAGAGACAACAGTTTCTTGGAGGATTTTTGTAACAGGTATATTCAAGATCAGCTTAATTACTTCTCATGATCTGTTAAAGAAAAAACTCCTGTTTAGAGCAAACTGGATCAAGTACCAAGTGTGAATAAAATACTAGGTGAATTAGTTTTCATGTTTAATAATTGATGCATTAGATTTAGAGCTAGTCGTTTTAAAAAAGAAGAGAAGATTCAGTAGCTTTTTCTTATATTCCTATGATAAATTTAGAAGCTATTTAACAACGGGTAACTTCTTTTGCACTCCTTATCTTACATTCAAAATCTGAACTTTTTTTTAATTCAATATTTTACCTTCTTAAACTCAACTTGTTTTACTATTATTCTCAATGCTTTTTCTACATTCAACCTTATTTCTTTTCCTATAATCAATTAATCTTTTTACACATTAGAAAGTAGTACTTTATTGGAAAACTTAAGCTAATAATAGTACTTTGTTAAAGAAAAAAAAAAAAAAAACTTAAGGTAGGCATAAAGCAAAAATGTTAACATTACTCCTTGGCATGCACAAGCTTGTTCCTTGGTTTTCAAATATGGACTTTGGCAGTGCCTTCCTAAGCACATTTGCCATCATTTTTTCCCCTTTTAATCTGCAATGCAACAGGTCAACCTTTTTATCATTCTTAGCTTCTCTTCCAAAATGGTACTTGATTTTGATCTGCTTGCTCTAGTCATGAAAACCTGGATTATGCGATGGCAAAAGTTGATTATTCCTTTTACATATCTCAACAATTGCATCCCCATTTTGAAAGACAATTCACTTAGATTCTTCGTGAATTTCGAGAGTGAACTTGCAATATATATCATGCATTTCTTATATGAACTATATCTGTTCCATCTGTCTATAAAATTTATGATTAACCAAGTTCAGATATAGAAAATTTAATTGTTTTCTATATGTGCAATATACAGGTATGTGGTGTCAGGTGAAGTTGAATACTTAGAGAAGCAGACAAGTAATGGAGCTGAAACATTAGCAGCACTAAAAGACATGGTAGACAAGTACTCGTTATTCGTGGTAGGAAAAGGGAAAAGAGATTCACCGATTACGACGGGGATGAATGACTGGGAAGAATGCCCTGAGCTAGGAATCGTTGGGGACCTCTTGGCTTCCTCTGAATTTCAAATCAATGCTTCGATTTTGGTTATTCAGAAACATGTGCATTTGGACAGAAGCCTTTTGGATAGTTAGTTCTCAGAATTCTCATCTTGTAGTTGCAGAAAATTACTTAGGAGCTGTTACCATTTGCACAGATTAAATCAAATGCAGACATATGTATATATGTTGTACTTGTATCATACAAAAATATATATTTCATATGCATGTGTTGTGTATATATAATTTTATGGAATTGAAGGAGGCGTCTACGTTGACCCACTTATGACTTAATTCCATTCAACTTCAAAAAGAAAGAGGGCGTAATGTGTGTATGTTTTTGAAGGATAATTTTGAAGAAAAATGAAGATATATAGATTAGTATTGGTTTGTATTAAAAATTTCTTAGATTCGTATATGTTTACTTATATATATATAGATGTGTATATCATATGTTTAGTTGTTGAAAAGGTTTAAATGCATGGTGAAGGGTTTATTGCGAATGACCAATATTTTGTTTGACAAATTATAATTTTACTCATTGTGGTTTAACATAGTTGGAAGATTGAATTAGATATTTAATTTTATTATATTATAAATTATTTATTCATTTAAAGCAAAAACATTATCAATGAAATAAAGGTTAAAATTATAATTTCTGAAATGAAAAATGTTTACAATAATATTGGCATTATATGTAATATAATTTAATAATGACAGAAAAATTACCACAACAACTGAAAATCATCACTCCATGAAGCCAATTTGCCATTTTCTCATACAATGTTAGATGAGTGGATTTGAAAAAGAAATATGTGGAAAAATTAATTGATCCAACGGTCAGGATTTAAGGAAAAAAACATATTAATAATGTTGGGAAGAAAACAGAAAGTATAGTTGCAGGAGTATTTTTGGTCCGAATAGAGAGGTGAAGTGGAGACAGATTTTCAAGGAATGGAAGAGGAAGAGAGAAGAAGAAGGACCATCACACCTTTTCAATATCTACTTTACAGAACATTCAGTCATCCAATTCAACCTTCTCTACCTTCCCTAAACCCTTCTCATCTTCCCTCTCTACTCTCCACAATCTATCTTCTTCTTCTTCTTTCTCACTAATTATCATCCACAATGGACGCAACAAAGCTAATTCTATGCCGCGCTCGGGACAGTAAAGAGGACGTTTTCAACCCTCTCATCGCAACCACCACGCAGATGGGCTGTATTTTGTTCCTCTCCCATGTCTTCTACCTCTTCTTGAAGCCCCTCGGACAACCTGGACCTATTGCACAAATTCTCGTAAGATTTAATTTCCATATATTTCTTATTCCTTCCTGTACATATATACATATATATATATATATATATATATGAAATACCGATTTTGTATCAGGCTGGAATTGTGCTGAGTCCATCATTGCTCTCTCGTGTAACCGAAGTTCGACAATTCTTCATTCAAACGTCGTCAGCTGGTTACTATTCTGTATTTTCATTCTTTTTCAGGACGATCTTCATGTTCTTGATAGGTTTAGAGGTGGATAAGGCTTTCCTAAAACGTAACTTGCATAAAGCCAGGACCATTGCACTTGGAGCAACCATAATCTGCACAATTCTTGGGGCAGCCTTCGCCTGGTTGATGGTCTTCCTACTGGGAGTCGATCATAATGTTTTCATGTTCGTCCTCGTTTTCATGATCATCGTCTCTAGCTCGGCTTCCCCTCTGCTAGCCAGGGTCGTAATTGATATGAAACTAGACACATCTAACGTAGGGAGACTGGCAATTTGTGCTTCTTTGATAATCGAAATGTCTTGTGTTCTTGTATTCACCATTCTTGATTATATCTTTTCTAAAAAGAGCTTCAGTATTTTTTTCCTCCACTGTTTTCTCACATTGTTACTTGCGATAGTCAATAGGTATTTAGTCCCTTGGGTTAATTCATGGAATGCCAAGGAAAAGTATCTGACAAATCCCCAGGTTGTGTGTTTTAGTCTTCCTATTCTCATATTGTCAATAAGTACTGAAAACAATGGCATCAGTAGCATTCTTCCTTGTTTCCTCATAGGCTTTGCATTTCCTAGACAGGGCAAAGCTGCTAGGACTTTTTTGCGTAAACTGACCTATCCTGTTTATGAATTTATCCTCCCAATTTTTTATGGCTACATTGGCTTCCAGTTCAATGTAGTAGCCATCCGTCATATTCAAGAGTTAACTGTAATCATTGCCATGGTCGCAATTAGCTTGGGAGGGAAAATCATTGGCATTCTAGCTGCTTGCTACTACCTCAAGATTCCCAGGAACGAGGCCTTTTTCCTGGCTTGCATATTGAATTTCAAAGGCAATGCTTCTTTTTTGCTCATTGATGTGAACAAAGGCTCCAGTGTAGGTTCTTGTAATGGTAGAGTACCATGTTTCTTTCTTAATTTACAAGGCTTCATCCTTTATAGACAATTTACTTGACTACTTGTTGTTGCAGACATGGTGGGGGTCTCAGGTCAGAGAGCTGCTACTTGCAGCAATGGTGATCAACACCCTTCTCTCCGGCTTCATAGCTTCTTATTTGCTGAGAACAGAGGAGAAGTACTTTGCCCACTCCTTGACCGCACTGGAATTTCACAGCACAGAGAGCGAGCTCCGGATGCTTGCATGTGTTTACAGTTCCCACCATGCTTCAGGCGCAATAGGCCTAATCTCTGCATTAAGTGGGTCTACAGAAGCACCCATCACTCCTCAGTTAGCACATCTAGTAGAGCTACGCAAGAACCGGCGGAACAAATTGATGTACCACCAACTAGAAGATGGGGAAGAGTTCAGTGATGAGGAAACCTATGGTGGTGATGATGTACTGGAGATCAATGACTTGGTTGATGCCTTTACCAAGCAGAGCAAAGTTCTGATCAGACAAAGCAAAGTTGTGTCACCATTAATTAGCTTGCATGAAGATATGTGCAGCAGTGCTGAGAATTCTCGAGTGTCAATTATATTCCTCCCATTTCATAAGCACCAGAGAATTGATGGGAGATTGGAGAACAGCAATGAGGGTATTAGAACGACAAACCAGAAGGTTCTTCGTCATGCACCATGCTCGGTTGGGATTCTTGTGGACAGAAGCCAAAGTGGTTTCCAGACACCACATGGATCTGAATCAGTGCAGCAAGTAGTGACCTTATTCTTTGGTGGCCCTGATGATCGTGAGGCCTTGGCATTAAGCAAATGGATCACCATGCACCCTCAAATTAACTTGACCCTCGTTCGCTTCTTACCCACGTCAACAAACAAACAGAACCCAATCAGCAATACCTCTAGCCAGAATCATGAGATCTTAATGTCAATATCAACTAACGAGACTGAAAGTGAGAGAGATAACAGCTTCTTGGAAGATTTTTGCAACAGGTACCCCTTGATATCAATTTTTTCGTAGAGAAAAAAAAAAAATCTGATCAGTACAAGATAATTAGCCTAGGCGTAAATTTGCTAGAAAGTATTCTACAAAAATTATTCTTTTCAATCACGTTCTATATTTCAACATTATGTTCTACATACACACATATATTTCATTTTTAACCAACACATATTTGATGTATAAAGGTATTCGAATTTAGAAAATAAAAATCAGAAAATATTATCTTTTTAGTTGATAATCTGGCTTATGTGCAACAGGTATGTGGTTTCGGGAGAAGTTGGATACTTAGAGAAACATGTAAGCGATGGAGCTCAAACAGTGGCAACAATAAAAGATATGGTAAACATGTACTCATTGTTTGTGGTAGGCAAAGGGAGAAGAGACTCGCTTATAACAACTGGGATGAGTGACTGGGAGGAATGCCCTGAGCTTGGAACAATTGGGGACATCTTGGCTTCCTCTGAACTTCAAATCAATGCTTCTGTTTTGGTCATTCAAAAACATATGCATTTAGACAGAAGCCTTTTGGATAACTGATTATAAGAATTCACATCTTGTAGTTGCAAACTATATTTAGATATATATAAATACATTGATTTTTGCCTAGGAGTTGTTACATTAACTGAAAATGATATGCATGTTTCTTGAAAAAGGTGTCACGTTACTAGCATGGATTTACTAGTTGGAAATGAGGTCAAATGCAGGAATATCTTGATGAACATGTGTATTGTATATGAATGCATGCAGTGCATGTGTGTGCTTGTCTGCATTGTTGGGATTAATCATGCCCTCTATGAGGCCCAATTCATGACCTAGCTCGATTCCATTTAAATCTGAAAGAGAGAGAGAGAGAGAAAATTCTTTGAAATTATTTGTGTTAACATGAGACTAGGTTTGACCTAGGAAAACACGACCTCCTTGTCATCACAATCTCTACCAATTCCTCTTCTTCAACAAATTCAACAATCTTTGCACTCCCATCTCAAATACATTTTTCACCTTATTCTTTTATCCATCATATTAACACAACAAAACTTTTCTTCCTACACAAATTCATGGTCATGTGGATTGTACCATACCACTCCCTCATAAACCATTCCTTCTACAAATTCATCAAATTGACATTCTTAACGTAGAAAGTAGCACCTGGTCCCTAGAGGATTATTTTCTTTCTTTCTTTAATGAGGTTTTCACTCATCTATGCAAGTTTGAGATGTCTTACATTAGCCTTTTGGTTTTCTTTCCCATACCAAATGGCTATAATTACACATGACATTATAGGAGCCAAAGAGGATAGTTTGTTTCTTAGTATCTTAAGGAAGCAAAGTTCATTGCTGATAAGTTAGCTAAAATAATTTGTTCTTTTCCAACTATGGAACGTAATGATGTGATCTTTTAGAACCTTAATTATGATATTTTTATGTTATCACAAGTTTAAATATTTATCTTAATCATATTTTATAATGGCTCGTAGTTTCTCCAACAAAAAAATCACACCGCCAAACACAACTGAATCAGATAATATAATGCAAACATTTTAAAATAAGATGCAACAGAAGCTATTCATTCTAATACAACATGTAATATTAATTTATAATCATGAGGTTACAAAATTCTGTAGACTCAAAAATTAAATACAACTTGTTCTCCAAAAAATCATAATTTTCTGGAGCATGAGGTCCACACGCGACGGGAAAAATAGACCCTAATGCTGAGTCTCGACTTTGTTTTAACAGAGAAGGGGGAGCCACTGTCTTACCTGGAAGAGCACCGATCTACAAAGAAAGTCAAGATACAGTTGGAGGAGAGTCACTCTCTGATACCTGGTGATGATATAATGATGGAGGAAGTGATGGCGGTTGAATAAATGGTAACAGATGGAGTGCCGCTCTGCCCGGAAGTGAGCTGCTCAAGAAATATTGAGGCGACTTAGCCTGGTGCCATCGGCGATACGTTTGCGGTAGGCGAACGCATTCGGGATAGAGCGCTGGTGAAAAGAGATGCGGGAACAGGGGCAATGGTGCCCTGTTCTAGTGCGACCCAAATCACGACCCAGATGAACTCGACGCAAGCTGAGTTTGGTGACGACGAACATATGCTAGAAGCGTCAACGACTGGTGGCGAGTCGGCAATTGAGGCAATTTTGCCTTGTTCTGGTGCGGCTCGATTAAAATCCCAAGCCGTATTCTGGTCGACAGCTGGAAAAACACCCTCTGAAGGTGAACACAGCTAAGATTGTGATAGGGGAAGGGATTTATGGAAGAAATGGGAAAACTATGATCCCCAGTCATACGGCTGTCGAACAACCACAAATCCAACACCTTGGGAAATTGGGGGCACCAACGGTGAAAACCTCCTTTAGAGATAAACTCATTAGTAGTACTCAGGCCACAAATAACCGGGAGAAAATCGAGATAAGGGACAGAGATATTAAGTCTAACATGGAGAATGGAATACCGAGAATTAATTTTTTTGATCAAGTACACAATCTCCTAGAGCAAACTATGAAACTTAAAGTAATTAATCGGTTGCTTGGAAAGCTGATTGGGTACAAAACACTCTGGGCTAAACTCCATAGACTGTGAAAGTCTACGAATCGACTATACTTTATAGACCTTGATAACGATTACTATATGGTCAAACTCCTATCAACAGAAGACTATCCACATGTTCTTACGGATGGCCTTTGGGTTATATATGGCCACTACCTCATGTTACAACCTTGGTCCCTTAGCTTCTCTGCTACAAACCTGGATATTATAAATGTTGTGGCTTGGGTGCGTTTTTCTAGTCTTCCTATCCACTACTACCATAAGAGCGTGCTTAAAATTATCTCTAGGGTGATAAAGAAGGTGTTTCGCATTAACTACAATACAAAATTCACTGAATGAGGCAAGTTTGCCCGGTAGTGGTTAGTATTGACCTAACCAAACCCATCTCAAAGTTCATGCTTGATGGGCGCCTTCAAAAGGTGGAGTATGAGGGTTTGCCAACCATCTACTTCGACTGTGGAGTTTATGGGTACCTCAAAGATCAATGCAATAAGAACTATGAGACTATGACTGTTTTAGCCAAGAGCGGAAGCACAACTCCCAGCAAACAGAAAAAGGTAGCAATATTGGAGGAGACTTACGGTCCCTGGATGCAGGTCCAACGCAGGGAAAGGAAAACAAAAAGAAATGACCCTAGCTTGCTTGTCAAAGGCACAGAGACTACAAGAGGTAACAAAAAGAATGGGTCAAGGTTTAGTACACTCGCTGACACAGAAGGAGCATTAGAAGAACCAAATTGGCTAGTGGTGAGAGATCTTAAACAGGTGGAGGCACTGAATGTGAAGCATCCCTTAAGGAATAAAGGAAAGGCATCGGTGGTGGGAGGTAATGGTCTAAGTACAATGGATGTCATCCCTGAAACCATGGACTTTGCCATGTTAGTCAATACAACACTCACCATTGGACATGTGATGCCCATGAATAATATGGCCAGAGAAATTAACGGGACAAAGGGACGCATCAACTCACATGGCGCAAGGAGAACCCTTAATAAGAAGCTTGTAATAAGTCAAGATACTACTACACTGGACCTTCCAGGAATATTGTAATAATAATTGAGGATAAGGTGGACCACGAGTACGAACACAATCGGGTCCCTTCCCCTTACCCCATGTCACCAACGCTGTCCTTGAGGGATCGCTCTAGGAGAGCAAATAAAATACCTGATAGACTTGGTATCAATAAAGGCATAAAAGTCAACAAGACTTTTAAAAAACAAATCAAAGCAAAAAAAAAAAAAAAAAAAATAGACAAAGCACCTACAACCACTTCATCTGTCATGATCAGCCCTTGATGTTGAAGCTCCAAGAGTTTGCCAATAAGGACATAAGTCTCGTGTCATGCGTGATTGATGCCCTTCAGAAGGAGCAACCATAGTTTTCCTCTTGAGCTTTAACTCATTTCCATATTTTTATTATCTTATGGATTGCTAATTTTTGGTATGAAATTATCAAGATACAGCAAAAGTGAGCTTCCAACATGTCCTTAAATCCTTTGTAAATATCCACAACCCCACATTGATGGCTTTGTTGGAGCTTAGGACTGCGGGCGAGAAAGCAGACAAAGTAATTAAGATCCTGGGGTTCGATTACTCTTACAGAATCGAGGCAGTCGACTTTTCAGGCAGTATTTGGATGATGTGGAAAGAGTTTATTTAGGTCAATGTTGAATATAATCACCATCAGTTTATCCATTCCAGGATTAGCAGGAATGATGAACGAGATGACTTCTCTATCTTCGTTATTTATGTGAGTCCGAATTCCTAAAAGCGCAAAGACTTTTAGGAGGAGCTCACTGCAATTGAGCAACACAATGATCGCCCATGGCTCTTAATTGGGGATTTTAATTCCATTTTGGAGGCAGCTGACTGAAAAGGAGGAGTGGCTAAACGATCTAAAGGTTGCACCTTCTTTAATCACTTTACTGATGTTAACTCCTTACAACAACTTAATTATGTTGGCTTGAACTTCACTTGGTGACGAGGGACCTTATTTCAACGTCTTGATAGAATCATTTGCAACTAGAGATGGTGTAACCAATTCCCCGAGGCTACCGTTCACCATCTTCCTAAAGTGCAATCGGATCATAGGTCTCTCTTAATCATACCTTACACCTATCATACCCCCAATAAGGACCCTAAGCTTTTTCAATTTTTAGTTGGGTGATTGTCCCACCCTGAAATTGACACAAACATCTCCCCATTCAAGATAACATTAGTAATTTCAATGAGTCTGTGTAGGATTGGAACAAAAATGTGTTTGGCCATATCATTAAGAGAAAACGCATTGTCTTGGCAAGACTTAATGGGATTCAACGAGCTCTGAAAAAACACCATTCTGATAGGCTTTAAGAGTTGGAGAGATCATTGGTTGAGGAATTAGATGAGGTGTTATTGTAAGAAGAAATGCTCTAAAAATAGAAATCTCGTTATAATTGGATTTCCTTGGGGACAGGAACGCCAAATACTTTCATGCTCAAACAATCTCTAAGAAGAAGAAGAATATAATTAGTATGCTAAAGGATGGGAATGAGAATTGGAGAACCGATGAAGAACAGCTTTGGAAGATGGCTGCCACCTTTTTTGAGCACCTATATACAGCAGACGAGGGATCTATACCTCAGTACCCTGTTAGAGGCTTGTTTCTAAAGTTAACGACTGCTATGGTTGCTTAGTTAGACTTTAAGGTGACGAACCAAGATATTCATGATGTTTTATTTAACATGCACCCACTGAAGGTCCTAGTGTTGATGGTCTTTATGCAGCCTTCTTCCAAAACCAATGGGAGATTGTTGGTGATTCGGTTTGTGCAATGGTCAATGATATTTTTCAAGGTAAACAGTTACCTGCTGGGATCAACAAGACCCTTATTACTCTCATTCCTAAAGTTGTAAGACTAGAAACTATTAAAAAAATTTGTCTGATCAGTTTATTGACGATTCTATATAAAATTGTCACTAAAATCATAACAAATAGACTCAAGAGCCTTATGCCTTTCTTGATTGGCCCTACCCAAGCTAGTTTTGTTACTGGGCAGAGTATCACTGATAATATTATTATTGCCCAAGAGGTGGTCCAGTCAGTACATAATTTATGAAAAAAAGATAGTGGATGACCATTAAGGTAGACTTAGAAAAATCTTATGATCGCATCCATTGGGAGTATATTAAGGACACCCTGTTTGATTTTGGTCTTCCTCCTAACATTATTAGA